CGACAGGTGAGTAGTTGAGGCCAAGTTCAGGGAGAGGTGAGTTCCGTTTTAGCATTGCGATTCCTTTTATCCAATTGAAAAATGTAAGTCAAAACAATGAACCATATGTTCAGGAAGAATATTCACGTTACATTTATGAAGAATATTGACACCATTTTCCTGATGAGAGATCATTTGAATGTGTTTTGTGCATATAAAACTCAACCTGTGTTCAGTTAGAGGCATTGCAAGGGTTTTATGAAGGTATGCATATTGTCTTATAACCTAACTAAAATACAGTAAATGTTGAATTAGGAATCCAATTGTAATGATGTGAAGCCTACGCACTTGTTTGGTGTTGATCTCCTCTGCAGTCCTGCATTCCTCCGGTAGTCTGAATGTCTTACACAGAGAGTACGGGTTGCACCTCTCTGCTGACAGCAGGCTTTGGGGAAGGGACATGTTGGCTGGTTTGGTTGCAGAGGACACTTTCTGGCTGAAGTGTGTGTTCAGAATAATATCACAGCTGGAGCCCTCTATAGAAAGACTCTGCCTGCAAGGGAGATACAGATCATTAGTTTTAGATCTAGGGTAAAGAATGGTGATAGTTGAATTATGCACCTTAACATTACGTTTTTTTATTGATATTCCAGACTTAACTTCACAGAAATTGAATAAATAAAGGTGTTGGACAATGATAAACAGTTTGTATTGTGACTCTTTTGATAAGAAAGATTCAGATTGTACAGTACACTAGGTGTAGATGATTGCATAAATGTGGTGGGGCTGAGAGCTCGAGAGGATTTGAATGTCAAACTCAGATAAGGTACCATCCACCTCCGCTCTTCACTCGGTACCACCCAGCACAGAGTACAAGTTCAAAAAGGGGCCAGTGAAAATACACAACGGATGCATTTGTCTTCTTTAACTGAGGTAAAAGATACATTTTCCATGCAAGTGGGTCTCTTAGAAAGGCAACACCTTGCAACACTGCACAGCTTGATTAAAGCACTTTCAAATGTGACATCATGTGTGGAAAAATACTCCAACAGCCGCCACAATCAACCAGGCTAAGAGTTTACTGGTGAAAAACAAAATCCAGAAGGCTGCGTACGTGTGACCTGAAATGCTCTCGTGTTTAATTGTACTTCTTCTTAACCGTTCACTCATCTGTGTGTGCCAAAAAATGAGATGCTGTAAGATAAAGTCTAAAAACTGAGAAAAACATTTACGGTCAATGGTGTTAACCCATCAAGGTGAACGACACACAGCTAAGGTGAGTGGTTTCGAGCCTGAGAACAAACAAGTTGAATAACGGCCAGATAATTGTACGGCATGTTGTTTGCTGTAAGTTTTACGTTTCAACTTGATTCTCTCCACATGGGAAATGGATAGTGTGATGACGGCTTATCAATGACTCAGCCAAGATCATGGCTTGACTGTAACTGACAAACGTGTCACAGCTCGTCTAGTTGAACCAGAAGTTAAACATACAGATTAAGCGGGAAAAACGATTCCTATATAACATACACTGTCAGCTGAGAGTTTGAGTTAGAACTAAAAGGAAATGTAGACTAATGTGAAGGTTATAATGTTATGTTTGTACTTAAATGTTTTTTATTTGCATTAGAGTGAGAGGAGTTTCTAATATTTAGTTAGTGTAAATACATACAGTGTACTTTTACAAATCAAAACATTATCCATGTCATTTATCTACAGAAATGAATCTAGATGTACAGCTCATAGTAGGATTACATTAACAAATAAATAAAGATTTAAAAGGATATTATAATCTTTACAAATCTTTATATTTGTGTAGGCTTATATCTGATCTGCTATGTTCATGGCAGGTTTTATCCCCATGCATACAATCTGCCCATCCAGTTAGTGCTGTACCAATTATCTTCTTTCACACATTCAACGCTTCTATGCAGGTTTTTGAATGAAGCTTTTGAGTGTGTGCTGTTTTATTGGTGTCATTAACTCAAAACAAATTGGTTTTTATTTATTTTTGGTTTAATAAATGTAATGTAACAAGTGCGTAACTCCCTCTGTGCAAGGAGCAGGAGTCAAACTGTTTTTTACCATTACATTGCATTTAGCTGACGCTGAAAGCGACTAACAATAAGTGCATTCGACCAAGAAGATACAAACTGGAAGAAAACAGAATCATATAAGTACATCAGGTTTCATAGAGCCAAACCATTTTAAGTGCTACTCAACTGGCTTTAGATAAGCCAGTCCTTAGTTAATATATAAGTGCTTTGTTAGTCATTTTATTGCTCGAAGTGGAGTCGAAAGAGATGAGTTTTCAGTCAGCGCCGGAAGATGTGTGGCTATCTGCTGTCCTGATGTCAATGGGGAGCTCATTCCACATTAACATTAACATAGTGAAAACGATTTTTGAGCGATTAAACACCAACAAATATTAGTTTTTAAGCAGAATATTTTGTTAGATTAAAAACATGTTGTGAACTTCAGAAATGATTACATGGTTTTACAATACATTTTTGCTGTCCGACTTTCCAACTCTGTGGAGTGACTGGACATTTTGGAATCATGTGAGCCGGAAACAATCCAAAAATAATTCCACCGCTGGAATTTAATTCTACATTAGTATAATAATAATAACAATATTAGCCAAGCCTTTCTTTTGAACTTTAAACAAATACCGGCTTAAAACAGAATGAATAGACAAGCAAACAATAGAAGAAGCTGTGCAGAATTCCTGATGTGGAAAATGTGGATGTCATTGTTATGAATGAAGCTTTATCCGGAACATACTATGAGCTTTACCATGATGGTGCAGAAACGTGAAGGACTTCTTCGTTAGTCACTACAAAATTATTCTCTTGTATTCTGATAATCAATAACTCAAGTAATTTCTCAAGTGAACAAACCTAACAATTGGTTATACTTTGAAAAATGCTAAAAATCGTTTCTATAGATTATATTATACATTGTGTTTCAGTCAGTCTAAGCATGCAACATTACTTTCGAATTATTGGGACAAAATAATAAGTTGAAAATGTAATAAAGAACATAAATTGTCAATGTGTACAGTGCTAGCTTCAGTGTGTTGATTTGATTATCCTTAAATTCTTTATTTTATACAATTTTATTCAACAACAACAGATGAAGCCAGAAATCTAGGTGTAGTCATGGACACTGACCTGAGCTTCAACAGTCACATTAAAAGAGTTACTAAATTATCACCTAAAGAACATATCTAGGATTAATAGACTAATGTCACAGCAGGATTTGGAAAAGCTTGTCCATGCTTTTATCTTCAGTAGACTCGACTACTGCAATGGTGTCTTTACAGGTCTCACTAAAACATCTATTAGAAAGCTGCAGCTGATTCAGAACACCGCTGCTCGAGTCCTCACTAACACTAAGAAAGTGGATCACATCACTCCTGTTCTGAAGTCTTTACACTGGCTTCCTGTGTGTCAAAGAATAGATTTCAAAAATACTGCTGCTGGTTTATAAAGCACTGAATGGTTTAGGCCCAAAATACATTTCTGACCTCCTGCTAAATGATGAACCATCCAGATCTCTCAGGTCTTCAGGGACTGGTCAGCTTTCTGTCCCCAGAGTCAGAACTAAACATGGAGAAGCAGCGTTCAGTTATTATGCTCCAAATATCTGGAACAAACTCCCAGACACCTGCAGGTCCGCTGCAACTCTTACTACTTTGAAATCCAGGCTGAAGACTTTTCTTTTTGTCGCTGCTTTTAATTGAACTATTCATATCTTAGACTGCACTGTAACTTTTATCCATGTATTTTTTCTTTTAATGTTTATTTTATTAGCTTTTCTTTTTAATGACTGATTTTAAATGCCATTTTCTTAATGTCTTTCATTTTTTGTAAAGCACTTTGAATTGCCTTGTGTTGAAAAGTGCTATATAAATAAACTTGCCTTGCCTAATAAAGATTTCATGTGACACATACAATTGATTTGTTGATGGGAAGTAATGTGAATAAATTAACTCTAGGTTAACGGTACTCTTGCTATCACTACTCACCGACACTATAAACCTTGTCCCTCATGCTAGCCCAGACAACACCGGTAAGCACACCTTCATCTAGGCTGCACTGTAACGTGTCCTGACTTGTAGTGGTTCTCTCCTCTATCTACACTCTTCTTGTCATCTTTGTAAAACGATATCAGACTGGTAATTGTCACAGCCATGACTTCTAGTTCAATTCAGTGTGGCTAAAATGAAAAGCTTTGTTAAAATATGCAAGCACGCGAAAGTCAAATTCAGCTTTATTGTCAAAAATTCGACATGAGTTATACATCCAGAAATATCGAAATATCGTTTCCCATCGTGTGACNTTTCTTTGATTTATCAATAGTTCGCTCATCTTCAACTCGGGATATGACGCATATTTTAGTTTACCTAATTAAAACCGGTTTTTAAATTGTTGTATGTGTCACAGTATCGCCTCAAAATACAAGATACGAAACATTTTCAGCCGTGCAACAAAATATAAATAGTCCTACAAATATTTTTATTTTATTTCCTTCTTATTTTTGTCTAATCTCAAGGGAGCCAGAGTGGAGGGCTTAAAGAGCCGCTGGTTGCCGACCCCTGCCCTAACCCGTTATGTTGTTCGTGTATGATCCCTCTTTAATTTAAAAACCAAGTTATGTTTTAAGCATGAAAGCTGTAGTCCTATAGCTGTCAACTGGTCAAACTGTGGTCACCAGTCCAATACATTTGACAAATTCGACTTGGTTTCTATACTTATTTGAAGATGTATTTATTTATTTTTCAAAATAATCTTTTTTTTTGGTCAGCATTTTTCCCACATCTTTTTTTTTATATAGGATAAGTGCATTTCGGTTAATGGATTAACCATTTTTTCTGGGGTCGAATATACATTTGTTTTCAAATTCCCATCCCTAGTCAGTAGTATGAATGTATGTATGTGGCAGGATATTTTCAGAGTTTTAAATCAGAATCAAATTACAATTTTGGTAACTGACAATGATTTTCTTTTGTTTTACAGGAACATCTGAGCGTGGTGCTGAAGAAGTGGAAACTTTGTAAAAAATAAAATGGAAAAAAAATAACTTTGTCTTTTCTTTTATTCTATGTTCTGGTATTGAGCTTTGAGGCAACATTTCAATGTACTGGAAAGTGTTCCTAAAAATCAGTCTGTGAAAAAAAAAATGGATTAAACAAAACCACTTGGCAACAGGCAAGGGTAACAACAGATGCCTTTATTTTGGTAATGTTCGTCAGGGGCAATGATAATCAAATTATGTGAGCCTCCGTTCCATCTCAGCACTAAACTTCAAGCAATGCAAAGAAAATGTTTAATATTGTATTGTTAAAACTTAAATGAACATTTCAAAAAGTAGTTCTACACTAAGTGAAGTTAACTATATGAAATCCTCATGTTGTCGATATTGAGCCTGTTCAACTAAATGCTCATTGCTTGAAAACCTGGACTTACTGATAATTAAAATAGGCTTTCATTGAAATAGGTAGTATCTAATAGTTAATTATCTAGGTATTATAAAGTCAAGTGTCTTTGTTGGGTGAATGAATAAATAGGCGATATAATATAATGTGAATAACGTTTAAAACATTTTAGGTATCAATCAATATGAACAGTACCTTCAAATGTTTCACTGTTCACATTGCTAAAGGCTGGTTGACTGTTTCCTCCCAGGTTACAGGTATATATTATATATAGTATTATTACAGGTGCTGAAGAACTGGTAGTACTTTGCTACTGGTTTATTCCAGCAGAGGGCAGCATGTGACAAGAAATGAAAGTTTTCATCAAAACTCACAAATGTTCTACTTTAAAAGGATTGCACGCAGGAAATGAAATCCTATTCTAGTCAAATAAGTCATGTAGAATTCAGAATTTCTTTAGTAATTCAGTCACGTTGCTTCTCAATCCTACTGACTTGACTGAAATCTATATTGTTGGGGTTTTATTATTTCCTATGGTGTCAGATACTTATTGAAGCTATAATAATTATAAGGAACAATATTGAAAACTGAAGGCAAGTTTGTTTACATGGCACATTTGAACAATACAATTATTCAGAGTCCTTAACAAAACACTCAAAGATTGGTGACAAAACAAATCCAAAACAGTAGTTAAAACTAATATATTCAAATAATGGTCAGGATTCTTGTATTGCAGTTTTCACACATTCTAAGCTTTCTCAACTATGTGAAACAGCGCCCCCTTCTGAACACAACGCGTGTTAATGTCAGTGTGTGGTTGAATATGGTATTGCAACCTTTTACGCACAGCTAGGAAGACAGCAGGTGACATTGATTTACTTTGAATAAAAGTTGTCTGTATATTATAATTATTCCATTTGGGAATTGTGAATGGTCTGAGAAGCAACTGCTGAATATTTCGCTAGCCATTTTAAAAGATGTAAATGCAACACTTGGTATGATAAACTACTTTTTGGGTCGTGCTAATGCTAACATCTACCTTCCGTTACGTTTGTAGCCTACTGGTAGTTAAGCTAGCTAGCGTTAGCCCATGGCGTTGAAAATGAGAAAAGGCAGAGCAAAGTTAAACATATTATACTAACTCAAAAAACCTCGCCAGTTGTGGAGGAGCCATGTTAAGTTAATGAAGGAAAGTTAAATTAATCAGTGTGCACGTTTGTTGTCATTAGCAGGTAAAAGTAACTAGGCTAAGTACCTTTACTCAATTAACGGTAATAAAACGTCCGTTACATTACATTGAATGGAAGATATTGAATTTAAAAAAAACTATTTGTTAGGTATTATTATGTAGGAATTATTTGTTTTTCTTTGGTGGAATTCAGAAGCTATTTTTTTTTTTTACATAAGCCTTTCTGCAAAATTAGTAGGCATACTACTTCTCACCAGGATGTAACTGAAATAGTGGTTTTAGTCTAGTTTATTAAAGTTGCTATGTAATTATTTGCTGTCTGCAATTGTTATTTTGCCCAAAATACTCATAGATGTTGTACTTCTACTTTCGTATCATGCAGAAGGGCCCTGTTTAGTCCTGCTACCTGCACCATCTGGCTTTGAAAGAATGAGCGAGCAGATGAAATGGAGGTCAACGTGGGAATAACAGGGCAAGGTGAAGGCATGGGAAGGTTACAGTGGTCATTTAGGCTAAACACAGTGTGTAGGTGATGGTCCAGTGGTGTGTGAGAGCGGTTTCAGGGCATCTTTAACCTCACACAGCCCTAATGATAGCTGTCATCAACTGCTGCTTTACTGCTTTGTTCCCACACATTCTCCCTATTTTTTTCCCTGCAGGTGAGTAGCCTTGCTGATGAGAAGTATGTCATCATCGTCCTCACCACATGCCTTCCTCTCTCCTTCCCCTCGCTTTTTTCCCAGAAGGCTTGGCTGCACTGTGGACCAAGGTATGGAAAACCTAAAGTTGCAAACTAAGCACTATTAACCTGTCCAGTTCACACTTCACATACACTGACCTGAAGTGACCTGTAATTCTGCACGTTCAGCTATTAAAAGCTGTTGCTCACTGTAAGAGAATCCAAATGGTATATGTAATCCAGCGTGTAATAATGTATATGTATAGAATCAGAAGCAAAACAGCATGCAAAAAGATGCAACCAGGCCTGTTGCTGTTCCATAGCATGAGGCATATAATGATTGCAGTTTGGAGGGTTTGCTTGCAACACTAATAGGTAATCGGTAACCAGCTCTCACCTCCTCAACAGTCCCTCTTTCTCCCACTCGTTCTCAGGTGGAATTACAGACTCCAGTGATGTTGCTCTGCTGTTAAGAGTTTTAATTGCATCACTTCCGTTTATGGGCAAATTACTAACCGTTATCTGCCTCAAATCTGTGTAGCGTGAGAACAAGATGCACTTGTGTGAGAGGAGACTCAGAGAGAGACATTCTTTGTTTTAAAAACTACGCTATAATCCCATTTTGAAGTTGAATTATGAAAGAATTACATGTTACTAGATGTAATATCAATAGCCACCCATGATCCTGTGAAAATCGAATATCATCACACGATTAAACCAGATTGTTGGATGTATAAAGGCAGGTTCTCTTCGATCCTTCTCAATAATGAGGCAGAAAAAATGTTTAAGAAAAGTCTTTCCATGCAAACAAGCTATTTTAGAATCAAACTTCAAGCCTACCTTGAGCCATGCACAAGTATCATCTTTCTGTCATTAAGTTCAGTTTTTAGCATTCTGTGTTCAACTGACAGGTTGGCAACCCATTTTAGCCTTTTTCTTTTCGTCAAAGATAATGGCGCCATCCGCAATCAATGAGCTATTAGACAATCTCCCTTCCCTCTACCGTTTCTACCGGGGCCCGACACTGGCTGCCACATATGGATTTTTCTATTTGTTTTAATATTTAAAAAAAATTTTTGTAGGTTGTTTTGCAGTCCATTCATTTCGCTCTGCCACATTTAGTCCCACCTTCTTTTGCAGTGGATCTCTGGAACCAAATCAACCTAAACATGTTTCTCTGCCTTTAGCAGGGAGGCTCGGCAAGTCACAGCTTGCCAAACAATGATCTTAACATAAAGAGATGGAAGCCCCTCATACTCCCCCCAAACCCCCTCACCTGGCCCCCTGCATACCTTTGACACACACACACACACACACACACACACACACACACACACACACACACACACACACACACACACACAGCTGCTCAGATGAACGTGTGTAAGCTTTACCCCAAATACCTATACTAACTCTGTGTATGCACATGCCTTTCTTCAGGGGATTTTATTTTCCCAAAAACATCCTTTAATTAATTATGGTGCTCTGAACTTCAACTGTTGTTACATAATCTCTTTTCACAGTAATTGTACAAATCCTCGTAGACTTTTTACCCTTTTTAAATGATAGACTTACACACTATTATTAAAGTCGCACATGTGTTCATGCATCCTGTAAGACATGATCTATCCTAATACTTCCCAGACATGTTATGATGTTTCAATTCTTTCCAAGCATTTATTGTGTTGACTTTTGTAATTCAACAATCACCAGAAATCTAAAGTTGTTGTATTTTTCTATGAGTAACACGCTATGTTTGACTGCCTTCAGATGTGGGAAATGTGTCATTACTGATCAAAGCACATTCAAGCTACCAAGATGGAAAAACATGTACGGCTGTTGTGAAGTTTTCCCATTGGCATTCAACAGCAGTAAACCAACACAAGGCCTCTGAAGACAGGAACCTCCTCATCCATCCTTGATGTTTGGCCAATTCTCAACGAGAAGACTAAACTGAAAATGGAATTCAAAGGGCAACATTCATGACAAGAAACGTCCTCATATGTGGTGCAGGTATACGCGGAACAGCTTATTTAGATGGATGACAGCAACTTCCGGTGGATTTAAACTGAAGACAGTAAAGGAGATTATTCTGGTGGAAGGAGGGCTGAGTCTTTTATTCTGTGACATGATTCATTTATAGTTGAAGAGAGAGTGTGTCGAGAAGGAATACTAAGTGGACACACTGTTTTTCTCTCCCTCTGTCTCTTACACACTAAGAGCAACACTGACCGACAGCAACAGGAGGAAGAGGACAACAGTCTGTATGGGACAGTTTGACAGCTCCCAGGGAGAGAGACGAGATTACAGAGGCAGAGGAGGACGGATTATACACAGAAGAAGAGTGACAGGCCGCCTTCTGTCTCCTGGAGGTTAAACAGACAAACACACAGTTTCAAATCTCTTAAAAAACTTGAGGCTGTGGTGCTAACAATCTCAAACTTTCAGCATAAGAAATATCATATATGTAATGCTACATGCAGGTTTCCCCTACCAACAGGCTAAATACACAACATAATGTTTATACGAGAAAAAAAATCTTGACTCAATCAAGGTCCATTTCAATAGTTTGCTCAGTTGTCATGTTATCATGTGACCCACTAACTATTTAACTTTAGTGACCTAACAGGTGGTTGTAAAAAAAACTCCACGATAGAGACTGCAAAAATGCTCAAGAAAAGAAGTTAGTTGCAGCATTAAGTTGAACTTCAAGTAAGGTTACTTTGTCAAAGTGGTCAGTCAATTATTAATTTTTTATTCCTAAAATGTATGATACCCAAGCAAAAGTTGGCATACATACATTTGGAAAGGGATTATTATTTACAAATAATTTGTCCGAATTGGAAAGTCAAACTCCAATTTCTCACGCTATTACATGGATTTAAGTAAAACAATGACAAAGACTTGCAAATGTCCAATTCAGTCGTCCATATTATATTTGATTTCAATTGTTAAAAGCTGTTAAATCACTCAATGATTTGTTCAACGTGTAAAATCAAGAACGGAAATACAAATGATCACTCTGAATAATAAAAGTTACTTGATTGCATATTTACATTTCAAACCCTATAGTTGTCTTCTTATTCCTGTTTTCTGACGGGCTGAGTGTGTGGCCGTCAATGTGTGTGTTTGCATGTTTGTTGAGGACACCTGTCTGTGTGTGTGTGTTTGAGGAGCATTCTCTTTGTGGTTTAGTTTCCCATTTGTTGTTTAGCCACATGGCGAGTGCAATGATGCAGGCATGTCAAATTGATGATAGTAAATGAAACAAAGAGAAAAAAAAAATTCTTAATTTTGCTTTCATAATGATTGGCAGGAAAAGGGAGGAGGAACAGAAAGGAAGGAGAAGTACAAAACATGACAATGGAAAGTAAAGTTGAAAGGAAATGAGTAAAAGGAGTAATCCATTAAAAAAAGAAAGAGAAGGAACTGTAAATCAAATTGACCAATGGATCAAAACTCTCCCCTTGCCTTTATTTGAGCCAGTTAATTACCCGTGAATGATGTTCCTAACTCAAACCCTTCAAAGTAAGCATTGGCAGAAGTTGTGCCCTCCTCCAACAGCCGGGGACGGGCCAACAGAGAGAGGGGGAGGGAGAGAGGGGAGTCAGATTGAGTTGGAATAGGTGCCTGGTGGAGCGACACAGAGAGAGGACAGAAACCTCGACGCTTCGCTCTCCGGGACCCCTTCCTCTAATTCTTGCAACATTTGCCTCCAAATGTCCTTCTTCCTCACGAGTTAACGGTCAATTTCTTATTTTACTAATATTTGTTTTAGTCCTCAAACTTTTTTATTTCAACCGGATCGAGCGAACAGGTGGAGATGATGGCGAGCCGACCGGCGGCGCTCTCCCCGGATCTGCGCACCCAAACGCGGGTCGCGCTGCTGCTCTGGCCGCTGTTGCTGACCTGCGGCACCTTGGCGTCGGCGCAGGAGCTGCCGACCAACGGTCTGAACGGATACAGCCTGCACCCGCCATACTTTAACCTGGCCGAGGGCACCAAGATCTCCGCTACGGCGACCTGCGGAGAGGAGGACACCGGCCGGAGCGTGCAGGACCTGTACTGCAAGCTGGTGGGGGGGCCCGTGTCCGGGGACCCGAGCCAGACCATCCGGGTGAGCTGGGCACAACTTTATAAAAGCCTTATTACCGCATTTGTTGCTCAGAAGGGAACTATAAACTTTATTGGACTCGGTAGACTTTTAATTTTTCAAAATATTTGTTTTAGCCTATATAGTGAAAGTTAATGGCAGTTGAGTACCCCATATTATATCAATAAGTGTCCAATATGTATGTATTCCAGGATTGTTTTGTAAGTGATTTTGGCGATTTTAATAGCATTTTTGCATTGTTCCTATAAATGCTGAGAGTGTGTTTGGTTCTCAAAAGTGTTACAATGACTGATGCTTCTATAGTCTGTCTGTATGGTAGCATTAAACACCCAGGTGGTATTGCTTTCAGTTTATAAACGACCTATAATGAGCCTATATTGACCCTATTTCATAGCGTCAGTCTTCTTTAAGGACTTTATTGTATCAGATTTAGGGGATATGATGACATTTGTTATCCCGCTGGTGTCACCGATATTCACTTTTTATAGTATGCTTTTAAAATGTACTACACAGTCCTTTTTACTGGTGTTTTGCAGCAGTATTTTGTAAGTCTTCCACCTCCAAACTGCATGTTTCGCTCCAGTTGTGTTATGTTAGACTTTTTGCGGATGCCAACACACTTGACTGCCTTCAGAGTAGAGAGTTGAACAGAGGGGGTCAGCAGTGTGCATGAATCTCCAACTGCTGTGCCAAGTCATTATTTCATGCACTGCTTCCTTTGTAGGACTTGGCAACACTTAACACAGGCCACTTATATAAGGACAGGCAGCATTTCATTCAAACTCCACACAAATTCAGCTAGTTTCCACATCATGCCTGAAGTTTCACGTGAGTTTTATAAATCAGTTTTTAATGGGATGATGAGGCTTTTAAAACCATTGTGTGTGTTTGATGTTTAGCCCTCTAGGTATCACTAGTTAACTCACAAAGGAGTATTGCAGTCTCATGAGTTAAAGAAAGCCTCTGGGCGGGAACTGGCAGGCTTATTGCCTTCTCTCTCCTTCTCTCTCTCCCACCTGTTTCTCGCATTCCTCCCAGGGACTGACCCGTGTCCTCCAATCGGACCGAGTTTATCCGCTCTGTTACCGCGAGATTATCAAGACCTGAGCGCTGCTTCCTCTTGTGGTGATGGTCGTTTTTTATAAGACAGAAATGATCTAAGAAATGTGGTCATTTCCAAATCCTGGCTGATGATGAGTATTGGCAAAAGTAGTAGAAGTTACCTTTGAACTGAAATTAAAAGAGATCAGACAGTCGAGATATACATACACTTAATACTGAGAATGAACAGCAGGCAGGCTTAAGCGTTGTTTGTTTGTTAAAAGACGAAGGCAAACAAAACCCCCAAAAACATATGCCCTGAGGGGTTGGGGGCTTTTCAAGATTCCTTCAAGCTTTCAAGCTGTTTTATTCAATGTTATCTTAAGAACTACAAAGCAATACAATAATCCCACCTTAGACAAAAGAAAGAAAGACATAATTATATACTTTACTCAGTAATTATCTTCAATCCAGCTGGTGAATTGGCACTATATTCGCTGCAGTAACCCGTTTGATCTCGACCACATTTGACCCACTTCAGCTTCTCCACACTGAAGATTAGAGCTAATATTCTCTGAGTGTTTTTCTCAGTCTTTCTCTCTTCTGCCTGCTCAGGGCAGGTGGTTAAAGTGGTTCATAATTAGCTCAGGAAATCTCCGAAATGAACCCAAGAAATCTGGCCATTAGCTCAGGGTTTGGTGCTTTATGGGTCAGGGGTAAGAGGTTTAGCCCTTTTGCTGGGCTATTGTGGCTCGGCCCACTTGTTGTGTTACTGCACCCCCTGAAAACACACACACACACACACACACACACACACACACACACACACACACACACACACACACACACACACACACACACACACACACACACACACACACACACACACCTTACCAGAAAACACAGACACTTCTGTGTTGAAGTTAATCCTGTTTTGATTGGACAGCAAGACGTGAGTGTATTTTTATTAATTAAAAACAGCAGGAGGACTAACGATGGTGGGGGGGGGGCGGTGTGTGTGTGTCTGTTTTAGGTTGTGAACTAGATTTACTTTAATGAGACTGGATGTGCTGAAGTGGTTGAGCTGTATCGATGTTTGAGGCTGCCGTCGAGAGGACAGTGCCTGAGCTTGAAAATCTGACCCAGCATGCACCTTTTAATGTGGCTTTTTGCCATGTAAGATAAAAGCAGGAGAAAATGAAACAGAGAGAGTGATACAAACCTTTATGATGAAGAATGAGTTCGAGGTAAAACAAGGAAAGCTGTGCATAATGTTGAGAGAGGGAAAAAATATAGAATTCTTAAAGTGGCAGGTGTTGACTGACGAAACTTTGTCTGTCTCTGAGTGAGGAATCTGTGTCCTCGGGGCAGTGCTCGAGAGTTTTCTCTCAAAGGTTGAGGAAAGGAAAGAAATGGTAAGAAAGATTGAATTAAAGAGTGTGTAATACACAGAGAGAGAGAGAGAAATACACTCCACATGTTCCTTTCCAGGTGGCCTTTTAAAAGGAAGTGACCGGACATGTCCTGTGAAAGAAAACTGAGAAAAGGAGGACAGAATAGGGTGAAATGGAGTTTGACAGCCACACTGAAATACAGAAGTAGCCTTCCTGACATCTCACTAAAACACCTACTTTTTTCTTTTCCCATACCTCGGGGAGAAAGTTTAGTTATTGTTAGTTATTTTTAAATCACTCAACCTGAGAAGCAGCTTCTCATGATGTGAATCATAATTATCTCTGCGTTCAGCCTGTGATTGGAGGGGATTTCCTTTCTTCTTTTAAGGTTTCCTCTGAAATGCTCTGTGGTCTACAATTTTCTCGACAGCATCAGAGCAATTAGTACTGAAAGAGATATTTAGTTAATTACAAGTGCAGAGAGAAAGAAGAATGCCACGGAGAAACTGTCAAAGGGGGAAAGTGAAAAATATGTTTTGAAAACAAAATTACACATTTAAGAAGTGTGAAGAAATACCAATAATTTCACAGAAAGAATATATTTTGATCTCTAATAGTGTCCAATGAGTCATTCATTCATACATATTCATTCAATTATTACTATAATTGAATGAACTTACTCTCAAGAGAGCTTCATTTGTCACACACTCTTGTTCAGGGCATTTATGCGCCTTTAATAGCCGTAATTTGTAGTGTCAGTTAAATATGAAAATAAATCAAAATGTAATTGGCTGTGGCGAAATAATAATAATTAAACCTAACTTGTCACACAATTGACTAATTGGAGAGAATGATTTGTAATTTACCGTTTCTACCAAATTCGAGGCAAATGTTAAAGGTTGATTGATCGGTGACATTTGGGAAGTGATGAGAGGAAGACGGAGGACAGGGGAAGGCTTTTTGGGCGGTGGAGTGAGATAGAGAGCTGTGACCTCTGACCTCAGTAACCTGCAGTGATAACATCTCCTAACCTGGGCTTTTGTTCAGGTCCACGCTTGTTTAGTTTATGCTAACGCTTACATAGCCAGCAGTGGCCAGGGTTAAACGCTCCGACAACTAAGAGGGATTAGCTCAGAATGAAGAGAGGCTTGATAACCCAAATGATTCGAGAGGACACTTAAAGTGGACATGTCCCTGCTCCTTTTTGAAGCATACAGCAGTGATTTGGATTTCATAACATGTTTACCAACCAAGGTTAGCTTGGTTGTTGATGCTATTGAACATCATGACAGGTTTATTGTTGTTCAAGTTATGTTGTTGTTGTGTGGCAGATACATTAATGGCTGCCTCAGTGGTTATAAATGGCAGTGAACAGGACAGGAGGGCAAGTGTTTTCTGTGGTGTTGGTATTAGAATGTCAGTTTAGCACAAAACAGTCAGACTGAGGAAAATAAACATTTGTTATGACACACTTAAACCTCTACTGGCAGAAATACAAGAAGCTAGGGCCTCACTGTTACAGTAACCTGAGTGGAGTCACCTCTCTGCTGGAATATAAGAAACATGACCCAGGTGGCTTCAGGGGGAATGATTGAGAGAAATCTTTTCTTTTCATAGAAGTTTACTGTGACTCAAAAACATTGTGCTGCTGTTTTTGGTAGTTTAGAGAGGAAAGTGAGGAAGCTTCATAGTGTACATTTTGCAAGAAGGGTGTTCATAATGAGCCACATTTATAAAAAAAGGATTTCCTCATGGTCAAGTACAGCTTTGAATTTGACACTGGACACCGTAAGGTTTCAGATTTGGAGCCTTATGAACACCTCGTATTCTCAACTGATAAATCTCTGTCTCCTCAGGGCCAATACTGTGACATCTGCAGCCAGGGCGAGAGCGACCGCGCCCACCCCATCACCAACGCCATCGACGGGACGGAGCGATGGTGGCAGAGCCCGCCTCTGTCCCGCAACACCGAGTTCAACGAGGTCAACGTCACCCTGGACCTGGGACAGGTAGGACCCATTAGATATACGTACTGAACACACGTGTCATTGTGCTGCTTTTTGCTCCATCTCTACTGTGTGTTGTTCTCTCCCTCTACTGTACATGTTATTCTTCTCTCTACAGTATGTTTCACTATTCCTCTGCAGTTTGTTCAGTGTATTCCCACATCATTCAGAATTTTAAATGCATTTATTGATCTTCAGACTTGATCTCTGGTTGTAAACAACAACATCATACATTTCAGCTATTTATTTGAAGGTTTACTTTGAGTTGTTTTTGCCTTTATGACATGCAACGTAGTGCTCAGAGCTGGAATAAAACAGTTTAGACAGTGTGCTCTTTAAACATTGGGCTACAAAGCTTTCCAATCCACATACTATTCTGGGTGATGTTGTGTTCTCTTGCAAAACAGTAAAAGTCACGATATTCTTTGAAAGTGTGGAAACGTTGCCATTCTGTCAGAAATAATGCAAAGATGTTTAATTCAATCACATTTAAAGCATTGATTGGGTTGCAGCCAAAGCCCCTTGAACAGTTCAGCCTTTCCCCCTCTGGTCAAAACGTA